GATAACCATTGTTCACGCACTTGCTCTTAGGCCATTAGTATCCGAAGCAACTCGTGTTATTATTTCGAATGTGTACGAACGTGGAACGTGGCGTGAGGCCGGTATCGCAACTGTCTTTCATAAATGCAGGTATAAATGATCCTAGGTATGCGCGTGTCATGAGTTTTCGCAGGCGGGTGCACATAAATCCAGATGACCTAGCTAAGATACCGGAGTCAATGCAGATCGCTCGTGATAACACAGCATACCGGATATATTTTTCTAATCAAAAGCTCGCGTGCTTTCTGTGTAAAGAGGAAAGAGCCATCTAGCCAAAAACTGCGAAAACACTGAATCTGACCAGCAAACTTTACAACAGCTGCCGAGTATACTAACCGATGCTTCTCGTTCATCTAACTCTATTAAATCCGAACGTCTCTTTCTCTCCCCGCAACCAATTTAACCCGACTTCCCTGTTCCGATCGGCGATAAAAGACTTTCCCAGTGTTACTTTATCTGCTATATCGGATGCACAAAAAGAAACAAGCTCGCCATCCGAATCTGGCACCGATGACACCGCCCAAAAACGAGCCACCCACGCCAGGAAGAAAAGGCTGGTGATCGGAACGCCGCTTTCGCAAGAAGAAATCCAAACTTATTTGACCGCTAATACAATTCTCAATACCAACGGCAACCGGAGGTTTCCACTTAGTCTCGACGAACTAGCACAATTTCTTAAGGACTCCTTTGGTAAACACATCTCTAAAGAAGTAGCTCTCAGTTACACGTCAGATATTCCAGCTTTATCGAATATGCTAAGACGCACAGCATCTCGCGTGCCAGAATGTACTCTAAACAGCAGAATAATTCGGGTCATTAAAAAATTAGAAAAACTGTATCAGGAGAGCCTCGGTTCGACCGGAGATCAAGAAACATAGTTTACTCTCACCAATTCGCCAACATGCCCATCCAATCTGCAGGAGATCTTAAAATTGTATACTTTGAAAAGTTGTTGTCTGACGCTTCTACAGGTGTCTCGAAAGTCAATCGGGAAATGAGAGGTTCTCGAGGTCATTCGAAGTAACTTTTCCCTTAGCGCGAATGCTTTGTTTACGAGTTAACAACCGTGTTTTACGAAAAAAAACTGATCAATAATGAGAAGCGAGAGCCAACGAGTTCCGCTGATTGGCTGGGCCGCCTCGCGCCAGCCGATCTCGTCTCTCATTGGTCACTGTTTTTCGTTCCATAATTATGTTAACACACGGAAAGGGGTGATTCCTGAGGCCATTTGAAGCAACTTTTTCCTTAGCGAAAATGCAATCCGTGGCTTCGTTTACGAGTTATTAACGAAAAACAGTGACCAATGAGAGATGAGCTCGGCTGACGCGAGGCGGCCCAGCCAACCAGCACACGAAGCCCAGTCGCCCTCGGTCGCCTCGCGCCAGCCGAGCTCGCCTCTCATTGGCCACTGTTTCTCGTTAATAACTCGTAAACGAAGCCGCGGATCGCATTCGCGCTAAGGAAACATTTACTTCATTTCCCGATTGCGGGCGACTTTTGGGACACCCCGTGGCCGAAAATCGACCAAAAATCGCGCGACCCACGCGCGAAGGAGACCGGTCGGTCCGAGATCGAGCATATCGGCGTCGCGCCGGGACGAATCGGAACTCGTTACGACGTCGCTTGAAATCGAGTTTCGCAGGCGGTGCGAGGCCGCTCGTCGGGAGAAAAAGGACGATCGAAGTGAACGGAGGAAAGCCTGAGAAGAAGAAGGGACGAACGAAGAAGAAGAAGAAGAAGAAGCGAGAGCCAGCGCGCGGCGAACAATTCGTCGGGTGTTCATAGTTGTTAAAACGATTTACGCCGGCCGGGAGAGTTCGTGGCCCCGTCGCCATTAAATCTTATCGTTAAAACTTCCAGCCGCTGCCTCGAGATCCGCGTGTCGTCCCGGCGTTTCCGTGGAGCCGCGATGCTCGCTCGAACTCTCCTCCTAGCGGCGCGCGATCGACGAGAGGGTTCGTAATCGCGGAGAGGATCGGCGCTGGAACGCGGGAGGGTGGTCCATGGGCACACGCGCGAAAGTGGCATTCGTGGTTTAGCCCCCGTGTGGCCGAACCACGGTCCACCTTAAGTCGAAGTGTCAAAATCGCCGTCCAAGTTGCGTCAAACATTTTCGAGAATTCTTTCCGAGGCGACTCGACATTGTCAAGGGAGTCGCGATTTCGTGACAACGTTAAAATTAAAGCGTCTCTTCAACCAATGGTTTTTAGATATTAACGCTCGAATGGCGAACCTTTCTGACGAAAACTTTACCGATCGCCAACAACTATAAAAACGAGCCGCAAGGCTCGAATAATCGTGTCTCCTCTTCTCAAATTGTCCATTTTTGTGCGCAATCTGAGCGTCAATTAGGGAGAACTTGTATACAACCATTTGTCGCTGCGTATAATAATGCGGTTGGAACGAAATTTTGGGCAATGCCCGATCGAGCGAACTTCTATTGTCTGTCTGTCGAGCGTTCCTGCAACTGTGCGAACATCTTGTGTATTGCGAACGTAAACAAATGTTGATATTCGGCACGTTTTCTTTAGCACGTTCGTTTAAATCCGCTTATCTGAACGCGAACTCTGGTTATATTGAACGAAACGTTTTAAGTAGCGGGGATAAACAGCGGACTCGTATTGCATGGAACCGATCGTTTTCNATTGGCCACTGTTTCTCGTTAATAACTCGTAAACGAAGCCGCGGATCGCATTCGCGCTA